ATTTTGACTTGTATAAAATCAGTCTTGTGAACTACGAATTTGCTTGGAATGAAAGGGAGCTAAATCTTGTTGTTGGTTCCTTCATATTTTGTTTTCTACTTCAGATGAGAGAACGGCTACATCGCATCGGAAAGGCACAGTTTCATCTCCTCGCTTATATGTTCTTACATGTGCAAAATGTGATTAGAATGGTGAGTTGTTTCAACTTTGCTGTTCAAATTTGTTTGTCTAAATGTTATTTCCATGCAGGAATCAGAAAACAAGATGGGCATTCATGCATTAGGACTGCTCTTCCAGACTGTTCTAGATATTAGTAGGCAACTAGTATGTTATCTGATAGTGAATGCAAGTGCACGACTTTTCCCAGATGCACCGAAGGTTGGCAGTGTATGGCTTCTATCTCTTTTTTTTTCAAATTTTCTTTCTTCACTTTCAGAATGGCTACTTATTCGACGAGGTGACGATAGTCCCGTGAGTTGATTGGTTTATTATTCAAAAAACGAAACAATGCAATTTTTACTGAACAAGGCACCATGTCAAACGATCGGAAATTCGATCCAAACAGGGCTGAAAACATATAGCCCGAATTGTAATTGAGCGTAGCAGGCAATTCTAACTGGGCATTGGAACATACAAAATTGTGCAAATAATAATATAGCGAATCTGTGAAAACTGTCACTAATCTACGAAACAAAACAATAAATACAAGCTCAGTATTATATATAAGCGTAATTATCGTTTATTTGGACCATTTGAGTCAAGCTCGATTTCAACCATACCGTCTTCGAGTTTTGAGACCTTTTTAGCTTTTCGTGATTGCTCCTCGTTTGCGATTTTTCGTTTTTTCTGAAAGAAAAGCAGGTTAGCAGGTGTTTTAAATGTGAAAAAGGGAGAAAGTGAGGTAATATAAACAATTTTTTCCCTTTCGTTTCTACTTCTTTTTCATGTTTGGACAACGTTTCCACTGGAAAATGAATGTGTAACTAGACCCCGGGCACATTTACGGAATTTGGCATTTCTCCAATCTCTTAGCTCATCGTATTTGCATCCGGAATTCAGAAATGAAAGGCATTTCATCAGTCTGTAGAAGTTTACACTTTTTGCACATCGTATGTTGGACTCGAAGGCATCTGGCAGATTGTCAAATCGCGTGGCGACTAAAATCGCGCAAGGTATGTATCGTGGTCATAAACAGTGTCAAATTCTGTATTATAAGTAAAAGAATGCATAGGCCCTATAAAATCCAATTGCCCGCGTCCCTTGAACACCAAGGCGCGGAGCAGCTAGAGACGTGTGGTCCCGACGCGATATAGGCGAATCACGGGCGAGAATGAGCGCACACCTCATTTAGAAGTATTTTTGCAAACTTTCCAAGTCCCTTTTGGGTAAAATATAGTGTGCAACCACTGGAAAATTCGCGATTGATTGAAGTAAAATAAAATAAAATAAAATAAATTGCCTATAGTGCCTCGCGACCGCTCGCGTGTGTTGGTATACAAGGCACGGTGCGGGCAATTAGGTTTTACAAGGCCTATATGCTATTTCATTTTATTGTTGTATTTTATCATCGATTTTCATGCCACAATCTTAGGGTTGTCATCTTGCGCAAAGAAATCTTTAGGTGTTTTTTTT